ACAGTTCTTCATATTTACATACTCACGCCTTTCTGTTAATATTTACAGATTGTCTAAATGGATTTTGTCAGGAGAGAAAATTGAATGAGATGTGAAAAACAAATACTACACGGTGATAATTGAACAACAGACTTACATAAAAGAAGCGATGAATTATTCGAGGCTCACAATGTTGCTAAATCGTAACGATGCATCATTCGAAGAGAATCAGTTAAGGTTATCGTTATCGTACGATGGCTAACAGAACTAAAATCATTTTGTGTTGGCATCGCCGTACCTGACAAGAGACCTGCTTATCTAAATGCGTGGCAAAGGAAAGCGAACAATCGTCAGTAGTCGTTTGGATACGATCGCGCAGAGGATTTCGTTCCCAGAAGCGTTGCAAGATGTAGCAAAATCACGTTACCGACGAATCCAGTGAAACCTTAGCGAACAGAGGTCGATAAGAAGAGGAACACTAATGTTGAAGTACGCGAACGTGTCATCTGAAGTGTTGCGACGTATTTATCGTAGTGCAAATATGTGTTGACTGTTTGAAATACGAAAATGAAGTGACAGTGTATTGTTGAGGAATTATTTGTGAGAAAGTTGACGTTGATATGAAATAGCACAAAGTCACGTGATCGATAGTTAGATATCTGAGATATTAGGAAATGGTTGCCGATGTCGCTTTCGTGGTATAATCGACCTTGTTGACACACGGTCAGTAATCATCAGTAATTTTAAAGATTATCTTGTATGATAAGGACGTATTTGTGATATTTGTAGCTTTATTAGAAGAAAGTACTTCATTAGAGCCATTGAGTATAAATTTAGATGATATTCAATCGAATTAAAAGATCGATAAGTTGTGATAAGAATTCTCATTGCTTGTTCCTCAAGTTTGATAGTTATTAGTAATACAGCACTCATCGGTAAAAGTAATAATTTAAAAGTATTTTAATATTACATTATTATATATATTAATATTATAATGTTACATTTGGAAGAAAAAACTCGGGAAAGAAAAATTTGCGTATTTAATTGAATTTTAAACATTATACATTTTTTTCATTTTCACCTAAGAAATTAGTTATAATCTGATTTGCTTTACAATCAGTAACGAGAATAAGATATCCTAGTGTTCAGTTTCGTTTAAAAAATGATTCGTAAAATTCACTTACGTGTCTTGATACTATTTTAATTTTACTTCCAGAAGGGAAGATGTCTGACGATCAAGTCGACGGTGCGATAAAATCGAAGGACACGGATCCTCTGTTACAAGCGCTCGAGAAACTCGGCTTGGGGTCCAATTTTCTATGGATAATATTTATTTTCACGCTCACGCCGACGATATTCAATGGAATGCATTCCATGTCCTACATTTTCATTGCCGAAGTAAACTTCGCGCATCGCACGCGTTAACGATAACCTTGCACGTAGAATCATTTGTACAAACAATTAACGAATTACATGTTTGCATAGGTTCCCACTCACTGGTGCTCGGTGCCAAGTCTAAGCGCTGCGAATTGGACGGACGAGCAAATAAGAAACATTTCCTCGGCCAGCCCGTGCACCATGTACGGTTACAACTATACGTCTTTCGCGATAATTGGATTCGACAAGGCTTTGGAATATAAGAACAACAACGAATTTCCAGAGGAATTAGCATGCGAAGTAAGAAGCTTTGCGAATGATCTCGACAGAACTTCACTCGTTGAAGATGTAAGTGTTGCTTTTCGCGTATCTATCTTGACGCGATTACACCTTTCAGATAACCTTTTTGGAAAAATGCTGTTCGAACATTTGGACGTTTGATACTGATAACAAAAACCAATTCACAAAGAGCACCCAATTTCGACATTGAGTTCCTTATCGACTTTCTTAATTTATTTATTTTTCTCAAACCAGTTCTTTTTTAAACGAATTGAAATCGTCATGTTTTCTATTTTTAGCAGAATAATGATTTCAGTAGTCATTTGATTGTAAATACTTTTAGTGGGACTTGGTCTGCGACAAAAGCGCGGCTCGTTCGAGTACTCACATGGCTCTGTCCCTTGGAAAATTATTGGGCAGCGCTTTCTTCGGAATTTTTGCAGACAGATACGGGCGTAAAGTCAGTTATGTAATTGGTATAATATTGTTGATCATTTCTGGTCCAGCTGGTGCACTTGTTCCCTGGTATTGGGGTTTCATGATCTCAAGGTTCTTCAATGGCGTCAGCCACGCTGCCATACAGTACTCAGCATTCACGACACGTAAGCTGTGCCTTAAACAGAAAGATTTATTATTTTTCTTCACTCACCACTTCACTTGGTTTCACTAAAATTATTAACATTTTTCTATAATAGAATATTGGTTGAAGTATAGCTGTTAACATTATATGTAATAAATTCTAATCTAAATGAAAACTGAAATAAATGAATGAATAATTTATACAGTTACAGAAGTGGCATGTGAAAAACATAGACAGTGGATGGGAATCGCTTACAATACTGGCTATGCCTCAGGAATTGTCATTATTCCGGCTGTAGCTTACTTTATACACGAATGGAGATACGTTCAATTAGCAATATCTCTACCTGCTCTGCTCTTGTTGATCCACTTGTGGTAAGCTTGTGAAATGTTATGTAAACACCAATCGAAGGATACATTTGCTTACTTGAATCGTTAGAGGTACAACACGAAAAGTCAAAGGAAATTTTATTTAACTCTTTGAGACGCCGATTATAAAATAAAAATGAAATTCATCCTGCTTATTTTACCTTCAGCGTAAGTTCATGGCATTGTCACATGAATGAAAAACTTAAATGGTTCATGCAGGTACATGCCAGAATCTCCTCGATGGCTGATAGCGCACAATCGTCGAAAGGAAGCCAAGACTTTGATCGAGAAAGCTTCCAAGAAAACTTCCAATGACGATACAACGACAGATTTGGCCATCACGAATTTTAAAAATTCGAATGTGTCAACGGCAGCCACCGAGACGACCAAAGAACGATTGCGAAAAGATATTCAAGGTTTTCAAGTGGTAATCAGCGACAGCGAATTGCGGAAGAGGCTCCTCATCACAAATTTTAACTGGATGGTGGCCTCGCTCTCTTATTACGCGCTAGGTAACCAAACAACCAAAGTTTACAACCGTCAAAGTTTCTGTGTAATTCTTCATGCTAAAATTAACTCGACAGCCTATTCCTAGAAAATAATTCCAGTGGTTGCTCGATGCAAAACAATTCTTGGATGGTGTTTCTCCAAGCATTCGATTAAAGAGGCAATTTGATTAATTTATGGTCGTCCTCAGGGTTCCAAAAATTTTCAACTGCAATATAATAAAGAAATTGCATGTTGTGACAAAAAATACAAGAAGCACTTTTTTTTTTTATTAACTACAGTATTAAACACGAAGAAAGAAGAATGTTCAGAATTGTATCAAGAATACTAATCACCTAATAATTATTTCCAGAAAAGAATTCTGTTTTCAATTTATCATATTCATACATTTCCTTTTATCTAAATAGTATCATATTGTTTCAGCATTAAATCTGACGAACTTCTCGACAAATCAGTATATTTACGTCCTGGTGATGGGGCTGACCGAAATACCAGCTTACCTGATACCAACACCAATTTTAATGGTCGTGGGAAGACGTGTTGGAGCAGGAGCATTGTATATAATCGCAGCGTTATGCTTATTATGTATTTTAGTAATACCAACGTCAGAAAGTGATACGATTCTGACTGTGTCACTGTTCGGAAGATTTAGTGCGTCCGCTGCTTACGGGATAGTTATTTTGTACAGCTCGGAGCTCTTTCCTACGGTAAAAATAATTATAAACCTCGCATTTAAATATTATATTTACTTCAAAGAATAGCACTCTGCAAAGTTTCCAATTTTCATTTATTAATTCTGTACAAATTTTTTTAATATTATGGTCATTTTCTACTGTAATCTCTATTCCAGGTGTGCAGGAATTCCGCGGTTGGAACAAATTCAGCCATGTCCCATGTTGGAAGCGTGGCTGCGCCATACGTTGCTGATCTGTTAGGTGCATTAGTTTGGTGGGGACCAACAACCCTCTGTGGTGTTCTAACTCTAATGGCTGGACTGTTGTGTTTGACATTGCCAGAAACTCGTGGCAGGCCAATGGCAAATACCGTCGAGGAAGAAGTCGCAAAAGATAGGGAGAACGTCTCGTTCTTTTACTGTTGTGACAGTAGACACAATTAAATGAAAGCGACATTAATCACATGCACAGTACTGTAATAATATTGACACAAGTATTGTTCAAACATATGACAATATTGTACAAATAGATGTTTTGTACATCTGTATTGTTTTTATATTACCTTGTTCATTCATGATAAGGCTCGACGAGACTGTTGAGAAAGTTGTTCCACTGTTTATACAAAAACAAGAAGTAAATACTTTTGGATTTATAATGAAAACTTGTGAACAAATTGTTTTACTACCCATGTTATTATTATAATACCAGTGCTGTCTATTTGGTACAAGTTTCTAGTAAGTCTAAATTGCATAACATCACCAATTATTATAAATACCTATACGAAGGAGATCTCAACAATGCAAACTAGACTCAATTATGTCAGATAAAAATCAGACCCAGCTACCCGCACCCGATCTTTTGTTCCAACTAATCCGAGTGAAGTAACAAAATACTAACACAAACTTGTATAAGTACAACTTCACGTAACATTGATTTCATTTGCTAAGAACATCTTGAACATCCAAAAAATCCTCTCTGTTTGATAAATGAAAAACTTTTTAGTTCTTTTGTGATTTCTTTGATGTCACGAAAGAAATTCTCGACTCTTTAATATCACATTTAAAGAATAATTTAAATAAACCAACTCTACTTTACATGTAGACAATTTGACAAGCACGATTCTAAAATCGTATTGATTCTTGTGATCTTCAGATTCTTCAGATAATTGTGAGCCAATGCTCGATGAAGCTGTTAGAGGAGCAATACCAATTGCCTTTAGGACTGCTGACTGAATGCCGTGATCTTATAGGAGTATCGGAACGTGAGCAGACCGTTCTTTATTATTTATTGCACACCAACCGTACAATATTTGTCAAGATCAAAACTGTCCCTTACATTCGCAGCGGAGTTGATGGAGTATTTTAAATCTCCAGTTCAAGCTTTGAAGTCCTCAAGTAGAGAACAGGTCATGGTAAACGCTGGATGCTTCTTGGCATGCATTATGAAAAAAGGTGGCCTGGTAAAGTCAACATAATAATCTTCCAAACAGAATTGAAAAATGTAGAATTCAACGTTAAAAAGATTTGCGGATTCACGAATATGGTTTTTCATTGATCAATGTTTAGATGACAGAAAACACGGTAGAAGTGGAGAAATTAATAAAATTCTTGCCCTCATCAAACGATAACGATTCGGACAAAAGATTGCTCGCATACAGAAACATATGGAGGCGTGTGCAGAAGCTGCTAACCGAATCTATTTCCAAAAATTATTCTAATTCTCTGTAGATATCTTTGATCAATCATATTCACATGCTCATTTGATGTTTCAGTTGAAGGGCTAGAAAACCCATGCGAAGTCGCCCTGACTTATCGTGAATGTGTACATGCGCGCGTGAATCGTCGACCGTGACCGAACTTTATATAAATTCCGTTCAAGAATAACCATACGGCTAGTAGTAAATAAACAGTAGACGTTTGATCAAAAGAACAACCTTCTAGTAGTAGATGAATATTCCCTTTAAGGATTCCTTACTTTAACTCCGTTTAATGCAGAATTACGCTGCATTTACATAATAATAATAATATTTCTAAAAAATTATAGAATACTAGTACTGCCTATTTAGAACGAGTGTCCAGTTACTATAAATTACATAACATCTTCAACTATTATAAATACCTGTACGCAGGAAGTCTTAACAATGCAAACTGAGCCAAACTAGACACAATTATATCAGATAGAAATCAGAACCAGCTGCCCGCACCGATCTTTTGTTTCAACTAATCGAAATGAAGCAGCAAATTATTTACACAAGCAGGTATAAGTAGAACTTCGCGTAACATAGATTTCATTTGGTAAGAAGATCTAGAACATTCAACAGCCTTTCTTTGTTTGAAGAATGAAGAACTTTTTACTTGTTTTGTGTCTACTCTGCTGTCACGTAAGAAATGCTTAATTTAAACGAAAACAACTCTGCTGTACATGTAGTTAATCAGACATGCACGATTCTGAAATCGCATTAATTTCAGATAATCGTAAGCGAATGTTCATTACAAGAGGTTGCGGAGAGATTCGAAATACCTGTGGTACTGATGATTGAATGTACTGACCGTGCAGGAATATCAGAGCGTGAGCAAACCGTAGTATATTTATTGCACGTCGTTCGTAAAATGTCTGCAAAGCTCAAGGATCTCTTATTCATCCACAGCGGAGCTGCTCCAATATTTTAGTGATTCTGATATAAGTTTCAAACATTGGCGTAGGACAGACTTTATAGGAAAAGTCGGATGTTTCCTGTTTTGCATTCATGAAAAAGAAGGTTTGGTAAGATGAACGTGATAATCTAGAAAAAAAAAAAGAATCAGAAAGTGTAAAACTTTGCGTTAAGAATACGACTAAATAACATACACAGATTTACGGATATCGTTTTTCATTTATGATTGTATAGATGACAGGAACTATTATACATATCGAGAAATTAATAGGCGCCATGTCCTCAATAATGGATATGAATTCGGAAAAAGGTGTACGTATGCAAAAAGCTATGAAAGAATGTGGAGAAAATGGTAAGTGAATCTATTTCAAATAGTTTGAGTAATTCTTCGTATACCTCTGTTCAATCTATACGCATACTCGATTCGTGTTTCAGTTAAAGGGAAACAGGACCCATGCGAAGTCGCTCTAGTATTTCGTGAGTGTGTATATAGCATCATGAGAAGTTAAACGTGAAACAACTTTGTATGAATTGTGTTAATAAAGTATCGTACGGTTTCTAGTAAATAAACAACAGACATTTGATCAAAAGAACTTTCTCGTAGTATGCATTATTCCGTATGCGTTTAATATTATAGTATCGCGATAAAACTAATCAGCGAGAATCATAGATACGATTGACATGCGTTCTCATACAATTCGATTATGTTTCCGAGTTCGCCAGATGGTTCGTAACTATCGTTTCTCAGTGGAACACTGACCGTACGTGCAAATGTTTGCTAGAAAATTAAGGCTCTGTCAGACGTTGGCTCCCACGTTTGAGGAACTGACAAGGTACAGTACAAAGATTTTCATTTTAATCGTTTATTGAAGCTTTTGCTAATTCCAAGAACTAGAGCTCAAAATTCAAATGCTCAGGAACTGGTTTTATGCCTGAAATATTTGTTTCTACCTCATTTTGTCGACTATATCTATTTAATGCATTAATGAATGCAGTTTTGCTACATGGCAGACACTTCTAGTGGCAGTGCTGATATTCACTGCTACCGGATTCATCTTCCGGGCACGGTGTGGATTTCTAGAAGCAGTAAACGACGAAGGGGTGATAAATGACTTCGTTCCTTCAAATTCAACTGTGAATAGAAATACGAGCTCAATGACGTCTGTGACCCAACAAAATTTGGGTCCTACGATACAGGAGATTATGACTTCGAACTGTCAGATCAAGGAATGCCCAACCATCAGTTGCTCGTCCATCCTGAGCGACGCTGACCCTGGAGAGGTGGCGACAGTTTTCATCGAAACCACTTTCAAGGTATGCAAAGCAATGAAAACGAAATCAAATTTCATCGTTTCAAAGCCTCAAATAGCAACAACTCACGAAAACACACCTTCTTTTAGCCACAAGTTTCTTTTATATATCCTTCTATCAATTTTGGTTGTTTCCGAAAAATTTTATTCTCGTTTCTCTGCAGAATATAACATTAAGAAACATTTCATACAGATGACTTGCTCGAGATCAGAATCAGTGAAGCTGTCATTCGTCGGCTGCAAATTCCCATCTAACACGCTTCGAAGCAATTGGCTGAGCACCAACGCGTCGATAGAAGAGCTGACACTGGACAGATGTTCCCTGAGCGAAATAGAAGACGAAGCGTTCGACCGACCCATTTTCAAGGAAACCAAAAAAATCATCTTGGTGGGAAACCAACTCTCCTCTTTGCGAAAAGCAATGTTTCGTAAAGTAAACGCATTGGAGGAATTCACAATGCGAAAGAACATCATCAAGTATGCGGAATTAAATTTATTAGAGCACGTAGCTAGCACTCTAACCATCCTCGAGCTATCCGAAGTCATCGACGACTATCAAATACTGCGAAACATAACGGGTGGAACTACACCTCTGAAAATTCAGATTCTATCGTTACGAGGAAACGCTATAACCATGATTAATCGAGAATTGTTTGAAGGAGTCACAGAAGTGGAATCTCTCTACCTAGACAACTCTAAAGTAGAGTATCTCTCCCAGGATGCACTGCAACCGATGGCAACTTCCATATTGCAATTGATAATAAACAACAACAACATTCGATCATTTCCAGAGGGGCTCTTCGACTCGGTCCTATATCTCCAGAAACCTTTTCACGTGACGATACAGAACAATCCCTGGAACTGCGAGTGCAGCATGCAATGGATGCGAAATCTTATTCTGACCTACCCTCAAGTAGTAACCAGCGTACCAGTTTGCAGCACACCGAAAGAGAACTCTGGGAAATCATTCAACGTAGCAACGTTTTGTCCAACAGATACTACCAGCACAGCACACGACTGTGACCAGTCCACAGTCGAAGTCCCCGAGACCAGCGAGTTACTAGAATCAGAGGCCATCGAATTGAACTGTAGCGTCCCAAAAACAATCCTCCAGATGAGCGACTCCCGCAGGGTTTTATCGAAGGATGTCCATTTTCCTCCCCGTTTACACGACTTCTACGTTCTGAAGACCGAGGACCAGAGCCTGCTGATCAACCTCCCCGACCTGGAGGAGGGAGTCGTGTTGCTCTGGTTCGACAGCGATGACGTCGACAGGTCGCTCAACTGTGCAAAAAACGTCAAGCACTCTTATCTGCTGCAGGGTATCGATCCGCAGACAACGTACACGATATGTTTGCTCAACGATAACGATACTTCTTTCGTGTCCCCGTTGAACTGCTTGGCCGTGACCACGAACCCGACGTACGAGGCCTCGACTTGGTTGACGAACGCTGACAAAAGCGCCGTCTTCCTGTCGTTGACCGTGTCTTTGCTCCTGATGCTCGCCATCGGCGCGTTCATCGCTTTCGTGCTCATCTGGAGGAACCCCTCGTTGCTGCGCGGGAGCAAACGGGTGATGCTGGTGAAACGCAGGAACGTGGACGCCATTGTTCTGCCTAAAGGGGTCAACGTCGACGAGGAGAAACGCGTGAACGGAAACGTGGCGTATGTCAGCAACAAGATGTATGAGGATGGTTACATCACCCCTCTGCCACCGAGACCTATACCTCCTCGCAGAGAACGGGTGTCCAGGGTTAGTCTGCAGAGCGATTGGAACAGTTACGTGTCCGATTTCGAACATTCGGAGCTGTTGGACTCCTGGAAGACCACGAGATTGAACAGCCAGACAGAGAGACAGAAATGCGACGCTCCAGCCTTGCCACCCCATCCCTTCATCCCGTCGGTGTCCATGACGGTTGCCTCGACGGATGACAATTCCGTGTACCGAGCCACTGTATAAGATTTTTTTAAACGTTCTCGGAATTGTGTCTTGCATTTGTAGTTACATTGGGGTGCTGCTTTATTTTTATTTGTTCGAAAGTTATATTCAGGATTTTGCAGCAAAGTAATCGTCAGCATCTTTTGAAATTTGGTAGGATTATTTATGAATATGTATACTAGATTTTGTTAATTTTACAACTGAAGTTTCGTGTTTAATCAGCTTAACTGATCAGCCTAAAATTTGATATACTTTGATAGAAATATTAGGTCGTCCTAATAGTTTATGCCACTTCTACGTTTGCTACTGAAATTAATATGTGAAACATACTCTTAAGTGTTATAGAGAAAGGTAATCTCTCTCGTTTTAGAATATTTTCTCAACCTTCTGACGTTGTCATTATACCGTCACTATAAAATTTCTGTAGTTTTTTTTATTAAATATTGGTACGGTCTTCAGCACGAACTTATGGGATGACCCAATATTTTAAAGACACTAAACTTCAAAAATATAAAAGGAAGTCCAGTTTTCGACCCAAAATAAAAGAGTACCCCCTTAACGACTATGTTTTGCTTAGAAAAACTGTAGATGTCGTAAATACACCTGGGTTAGGTCTCGAGAGACGATAATTCCATGTACCAAGCCGCTGGAGTATAAAATTCCCTCGAATTACCTCAAACTTGCGGTTCCCGTTTCTAGGTACTTTTAACGACCATGTTGAAAGTTTCGTTTAGTAAAATAGTAGGTGTCGTAAATATACCTGGATGCAAATTCAGTCATAGTTTATTTATACACCTGATCTCGTTCGGTTCGCAACCAGTATCTTTCATGATAAGTGAACGACGGCTACGAAACTGTTTATAACAAACTGCGCGCGGCTCGTCGTACATTTTGCAACGTGGAAAATAAATAATCCTTGTCTCATCGGCCTAAATCTTGAATAATCTGGCCGACGGCCCGAAGGCGCGAGTGTCAATGTCAGTTTCGGCGGTCTAGTATAACGCGAAAGTCTGGGGAAAAAAAGTAAATAAACAGAAATAAACATTTTCAGCCGAGGTGATCAGTTTCGCACAACCCTTCCAGTTTCCAGGTACCACTCATACCTCGACAGTAGGGAAAAGGATCGATTTAATCTTCATTGTAATTCTAATATACAGTCAGTCCCAGAAGTATTCGTACCCTCTACATCTATTGGAGTAGTTTGCCTAAATTAAGCGATAGATTTGACGTTTTCAAATAAATGTTCCATTATGTACATGAACAGGTTTTACACATGTACATATTAATAATAAAAATTTATTTGAAAACATCAAACTTGACATTTAATTTAGACAAATTTCTTGAATAGATATAGAGGGTACGAATTCTTTCGGGACTGACTGTATATCATAAATTGTACCAGTAATAGTAAAAATATAAACACGTAAAATTATACTGCAACAGCATCTTTCTGTAACCTTCAATTCGCTGGTCGAAGATTACACCAAACACGCCTATATTTACCAAACATAAACACGAAACGAACTATACAAATTCTTCCTCCATCCTTGTATAACTCAACTATTCCAAATATTCGGCACTAAATCATGCTTCTCTCCAATAACAGATCAATTATCGAGCGTGACTTAAACGCTCGGTACGCGTTGAGCAACTCTACCCTGCCAAGATGCTCGAGAATATCAGTACTCGCACCTAAATTTGCGCTTCCCAAGCTGAACTAGCAAAGATTCGGCCGACGATCGGCGGCGTATTTCTGGCGAGTTCGCAAGCGTCGATATATCGACTCGGGCATCGAAGGGGTTAATATAATGGAATCACGTGTGGTAACGAAAGCGGGTACGAGTCGAACGTTGATTGTTATCACTGGCCAGTTCGCCCACCGGCGTTTATTTTTAATGATTAGGTCAGTGGTTCGGCTCTAACGTCGAAGCTCCATCTGATTGGCTAAGGAGGTCACTCAGCTCCGACGTATCGTCCTCACCGGTGGCTGCCAGCCGAGCAGTTTTTGCACGTACCGGCGACTGGCAAACCACTGCAATTCTCTAAAAGGACGCAATGCCAATATCAAACTGCTGTACTGTTGGACCAAGCCGCAATCAGTATAACCGTTTTCACGCTCGGCACCGCCGCGTGCAGTGGAAATGACCGGCTATACGCAGAAGGCGCGTCACTGGCTTTCTACGGACGCTGCCAATCGCAGTTCCGGATTTGCGTGAGCTTGACATTGCGGGATGATGTAACCCCTTCCCTCGACGTAACGCGTTCCCGTTTCCCACTTTCTTGCAAAGCGATCTACCGATCTCTCAGCGAGGCATGATGCAATTATCATTC